CGCGTATTGTTTTATAGTTACGGTACGGTTCTGTATCTGTAAAATACACTTTTTAAGTAGTTTCTAGACTTTTCTTTACTGCGTGCTTTCTTAAAGATTTCCTTTCAACCTTGCATGGTACGTGTTCAAAATGTCCAAGTTGATATTGAGTAGATAATGTTTAGTAGCTTAAAATTATAGGTAATCTAAAATTTTTTTTTAATTTAAAAGTAATTAATTTATTGTAATCTTTTTTAAATTGTAATTTTAAGTTTAAAGCTTCGTGTTATAGATTACTTTAATTCTTAAATTGTGTCTAGCGTTAAAATATATTTATGGGTAGTTTCATGCTTTCACTTAGTTTTGGTTATTGGGATAAAAGCCATGACAACATTTTGTTATAAGTTTATCTTAATTTAATTTTTATTGAAAATTTTGTTATAAATAAAATTTATCTTTAATATTGTTAATACTTTTGCTCTTTGAAAAAAAATATGTTTCTGGCTCTTCAATAAATATAAAATAATTTGTATTGCATGAATGAATTTTGGTTTAGAATTTAATTGTGTTAGTTTATGTTTGTCTATCTGTAATTTATTTAGGTTATTAGAAAATTCATGTTTACAGAGTTGTTATTAATCATAATCGAGTTGTTAAACCAAGGAAATTGTGGAGGTTTATTTATCATATATACTATATATATTATATAATTATATTGGAGGGAGTAAGTTTAGAAGCATTTTTAAATTTTTAAAAAGAAATAAAAATACTTTTCAATATATATCTGTTTTCTTTGAGGTAGAATTAAAGTTTCAATTTTTTGAAACTTTAAATTAACTTTACAATGTTAAAATGGTTTATACGAACTTAAACGGATTTTTGTTAATGAATTTAATCCTCAAAGATTAAATTTTTTTTATTATTGAAGAAATTAAACTAGATTTAAGAATGAGTTGACTTAAATGTTTGTTTGTTTTTCTATTTAGATAATGACAATATTGAAGCAAGTAAGTTAAAAAGCATTTTTAAATTTTTAAAAAGAAATAAAAATACTTTTCAATATATATCTGTTTTCTTTGAGGTAGATTTAAAGTTTTAGGTTTTTAAAATCATATATATTTTAAAATCATATATATAACTCATATATCTTTGTTTTTCTATTTAGACGTTGGTAATAATATGAAACAAGTAAGTTATAAAGCATTTTTAAATTTTTAAAAAGAAATAAAAATACTTTTTATTATATATCTGTTTTCTTCGAGGTAGATTTAAAATTTCAGGTTTTTTAAATCATATATATTATAAGATTTAAGAATGAGTCGACTTGAATGTTTGTTTGTTTTTCTATTTAGACGTTGGTGATAATATCGAAACAAGTAAGTTATAAAGCATTTTTAATTTTTTAAAAAGAAATAAAAATACTTTTCAATATATATCTGTTTTCTTCGAGGTAGATTTAAAATTTCAGATTTTTAAAATCATATTATAATATTAAATTCTTTTTTACTTTAAAAATATCTATATTATAGTTACACTGAGTCGTAGAAAAAAAATTAAAGTTTATTAATAAGGTAGTAGATTATTAGAGTAGATTAAATTGTTTGATCTATTAATCAACTTAATAACGTACTATTAGTATGAAGATTTATTTTGGTTGTTTGTTTGTTAAAATTTAGTTAGAGTTTATTTAAAATTTAAATTCTTTAGTTAATCAAGAGAGATCTAATAAAGGTATTAATTACATTAGTTGAATGTGGTATTTAATATGTATTTTATCGATATTTTAACATCTAAACATTAAAGTGCTTTTATTGTTTCAATACAGAAGTGAAGAAGGAAATAAGTCAGTGTTTTTGCTATTAGATATTTGTTAATAGGAATTTGTTTATTTGTACTGCCACTGGAATTTTTAAAAATCAAGTTCTATAGCTTTATTTTATGCTTTCTTTTTTTGGAAGTTGGAACAAAAACTCAGTATAAATTATGATTAGTTTAATAAATAAAGCATTAATATTTAGAAGATTTAAAGTTTACTTTAGTTTATAGTTTTGGTTTAGTTTATAGTTTTGTTTTTAGCTTTAGTTATTTTTTTCTTAGACAACTTTATGGATGAAATGAGGGGGATGGGTAAAACAATTATTTAGATATGTATATATTTATATGTTAACATTATTTTATCGATTATTTTATATTTATTTAAGTATATATTTGTCTTTAGTGTCTGGTGGAGGTATAGCTGGTAGGGCTGTGTTTTATATTTTATATGTTTTGTATGGAGAAATATGTGCAATAGGTGGAAAAATTAATTTATAAATATGACACTTTTGAACTGGTTGCATTATTGCCCTATTAAATATTTATTAAAATACAAAATGTTGCATGTTTAACCTTTTTTAATTTGCTCTCTCTTTTTTTTTTTTTTTTTAGCATCTTTTGTTTGAAATGAAAATGGTGAGTTTATGCTATTTTTTTTTTAAACAATTGCAAATGTATAATTTTTATTATATTCTTCTATTTGTAACTTTATATTCCTTATCATTCGAAGAATACAAAAATTACCGCTCCCAACACCCGGGACCTCTCTCAGAGAGGTCCTTCAAATAATGGAAAGATCATGGCAGAATGGATAAGCCCTCCTTCAAATGGAGGGCTCATCCATACCGGGGTGTTGGGAGACACCGAAGAAAAAACAGCAACCAAAAGGTTGTAAATGTCTTCTATCAGTAGAGATATTTATGACTTTTTAGTTGCTGCTTTTTCTTCGGGCTTTTTTTTATTTTTTGTTTCGGTGTTTTTCCTTTTAATTTTGTAATTTTTTTTTTTAAATATAAATTACGTTGTATATTTGATTTGTTTTAATCTTTTTTAATGAAAATTTTAATTGTTTTCTCACCAATTAAACCTGACTTCAAATTTAAAGCCCTCTTAAATACCCCTCCCTAAAATCTAAAGTCGAAAGTTGAATTGATTCATTATCTAATTATCATAATATAATGATGCTGCATTCTTTTGTTAAAAACAATTATTTGGTATGTTTCATTTATTGAACTCACTGCTTTTAAAATTTACCAAAACCCAAGGCAATATATTTAGCTATATAAATACAATTTATTTATCTCGATTCCATTATTCATCTTTTATGTTTATAGTTTGGCTCCTTGAAGCATTTTATGTTTTGCTTTTTTTATTATGAGTATTTTAAATCCGTTGTGATGTCTTTTAAATTTACTAAAAGCCAACATAAAAATTACGTTTTCGAACAACACCAAAAAGAACAGCTGCATCCCTACAGCAACTGCTGCAGTATCACAATAGGTTACCAAAAGCAGGTATACTGTTTTCCAGTTGTTGTTTTTTTTTTTTCATTTATATCTACTTATCTATATAATACTATAGTACGATTGTTTATATCTCATTCATTTTTTCTTTTTCTTTAAGTGTCAATAATTTTATTCTTTGAATGAGATTAGTTAAACAAGTCGGCTTTCGAATTCAAGATATTGGTTTCAAAATTGAACACCATTAGCAAAATGCTTACAAAATTAGGTAGTTTTTAAAAATCTGTTTTCTATTTAATACACTTTTTTTTAAATATACTTTTTTAATATACTTTTCTATAACAATCCTACTAATATGGAATCACGTAGCTTTCTAAATATGTTTAATTGTCGTCCCTATCGGTAATAAATTTTTAAAATTATTTGGTATGGTTTTCTTTACAATAGGCTATGCTTGGCTCCTCGGTGCTGTAAATGGTGGCTTCAACTTAGTTTTTTAAAGAAAAATGTGTTTTATATATGTCTCTGTTATATTTTTGTTACATATTTATGTTACATATTTAACTATATTATTTGTTACATATTTAACTATAATATTTTTGTTAAATATTTAACTATATATCATGTAAATAAATTTCTTTTAAAGATATGTAAACTTGATACTTGCTTTTTTACGGATTTTCAAAAAGTGAACAAAGCTTTAAATATATTTTTTAACTGTCTTATATGATTTTATCAATTTTATTAAAGCTGAATAATTACTTCAAAAATATTGAGTAAAATCCAATTGCTTTTATTATTAACCAGATCTATACAAAAATTAATGAAATAAAAATAATAATTTAACGCCAAGTTAAGGCAAAATGTATTCCGGACATTTTATATAATTAGTATAAATATGGATTGGACGTATGCTGAAATAAATATGTTGATACAGGTTAGCTATTAAAGTAAATCCATATATTCCTTTATTATTTTTTTATAAACAAGTTTCTGCTGGATTACTAATTATAAAAAGGTTGGTTTAATAATAATCTTTATCATAATAATATAGGATCCGTATGCAGGGCTAAGCCTTTTTTGGAAATGCGATATATTTTTCAACTTATAGTTTTTCCGGATATCCAACTTCTATGCCTACAAGTTTTGGTGTAATATTTTTAGGTGTTTTAAAAATATTTAAAAAGTACATTAATAACACTAAAAAGTTTAGGTGCGATAGTGACATATTTTTAAGCTCTTCACTCAGTAAAATGAAAAGTTTAAAAAAAAAGAAACGACTCAGCTTAAAGCAAAATTGAGAGTAGAATATATTCCCAATATTTACCTAAACAATTTTACGGAATTTGAAAATTTGACATCGATGTTCTGTGCATATAATTCAAGTCATTTTTAATTACTACATGGTTGTGATTTGCGGATTCAATGTCTGAACATTGCAAAAGAAATGGTTAACTTTATCTTTAATGAAGCTAAGAGTTCTCTTAAACTAAGAAGCCAAGAAAAATAAAAGTGAGCTCAACTAAAAAAATGTATAAATAAATTTATATTTCATTAGAGAAAGTAAATAAAGATCAAATTGTTAGTAATGATTTATTTACTACTAACCCGTATTACGGGTTGCTTACCGTATAAATAAATTTATATTTTATTGGAGAAAGTAAATAAATATAAAAATTGTTAGTAATGATTTATTACTACTAACCCGTATTACGCGTTGCTTACAGCTAGTAAAATTATTAATCTGTAAAGTGATTTGTAAAAAATTTTTAATTGTAAAATTGCTACATAAGAAGACAAGTTGTTAGATGAAATTCAAATATTTTCTATGTTTGTGTTGTGTAGGTCAAAAAATAATAAACAAAGATGACCAAGAGATTCATTTTAAGACAAATCAATCTTCATCATCTTTAAATAAAAAGGATAAACATTATGGAGTTCCATTATCTCAAGCGAGTAAGTCTTTAATTAAATATAATATTGTAATGTTTGTTGTAAAATGCTAACATGACTGTCAATATTAAAAAACATCATTAAAATGATGAGGTTCCAATTTTTACTTTAAATAATCACCTTCATCAAATCCAATATTTCAATATTATAAAAACTATAAATCTATGGAGCAATCTTTCTTGTCTAACCCGAAATCTGAGAAAAACGCTAATATATATAATATAGCATTGCCACTATTAGGTGTTTTACTGTCTATTAGTTTTTCTCTGATTTAAGGTTAGACCAGTAAAGTTGTTAAATTGTTAAACTTATGTATTTTAAATTTATTTATTTACATAGTTTAGTTAAGACTATGCAAAATTTAATAAGTGTAAATTTGTTTAGACTTTCAATATTGTGCGTTGCTTCTCTTAAATGAGATAAAAACCCAAGGATGCAAAAAACTTAATATAAAATAGTGTGAAGAAGAAGTTGTAACTGAAATGAGCAGCATAATAGAATTTGATAAGTTTGATTCAGCACTTGACAATGTTTTATCTAGTAACTCTGTAGTATCTCTGCAGTTGTAAATTGCTAAATACTGATTTGACAGATTTTTCTTTTTTTTTAAATTTTCTTTACAATATATAATTTTTACTACTTAATTAGGAATTGTCAGATTTCCATTATTTCATTCTATTAGAAACAAAGAGTTCGAAATATTGGTGGTAAGAACTGTCAAAAACATGTGATAGCTATGATGAAGAGGTTAGTAAATTAAAAGTGCATTCCTATAAATACTCTGTTTAATTTTATAATGATATTACTCCCATCTTACAATCCATAATACAAATCCCATGCATGGCTTTACGTTAGCCGTTTTACCATTATGGGATGACTGAATAACCGTGAATTTCATACGCGCAAACTAGCACATGTGCAAAGCAGTTACAAAAACTGACACAATGCCAAATTGCATAAGTGCAAATGGACATAACTGCACAAAAAGAATTCCAAACATTGGCATAAGTGCAAACTGGCATATGTGTAAATTGGCATAAGTGCGCTAAATAGATTTACAAACATTCGCATAAGTGTGAATTTCCATAAGTGGGAACTGGTATAAGTGTGAAGCAGTTGCAATAACTCGCAAAAGTGGAAACAACATAAATGCAAACTGGCATAAATGTGCCAAATAAATTTGCAAAATTTAGCATAATTCCAAACTGCAAATTTATTACACGCACTTATGTCAGTTTACACTTCTGCCTGTTTTTGTAATTGTTTTGTACTTAATCAAATTTTGCACTTATGCTTATTCGTAATATTTGCTAACCTGTTTGGCGCACTAATGCCAATTTACACTTTTTATAGTTTGCAAGTTTAAAGCTATAGGTTATCCTATAGCTTTAAACTTTAGATTAATGGTTAGTGTGCTATTTTTTAAATAATAGATTAGATTTAATTAATAGATTAACTGTATCGTTAAATTAAAATCTTAATGTTTAATTAAGTTTATATTTTATAAAAAAAAAAGAAAAAAAATTTAAATACAGTAGTTAATTATAATTTCATAAATTATAAGATATAAAATTATTAAAATGAATTATTTTTAGTTTTATGACAAATTCACTCATGGCCAAATCTAATATGGCAGCTGGATATATATATATATATATATATATATATATATATATATTTATATATACATATATATTTATATATATATATATATATATATATATATATATATATATATATATATATATATATATATATATATATATATATATATATATATATATATATATATATATATATATATATAAACATATATATATAACATATATATATAACAATTATTAGGTGGGATTGTATTTCTAATTTACCGAATACTAACCTATTTCCTTTTTTTCTCCTCTTCAAGCACTATATATACATATATATATATATATATATATATATATATATATATATATATATATATATATATATATATATATATATATATATATATATGTATATATATATATATATATATATATATATATATATATATATATATATATATATATATATATATATGTACATATATATAATATATATATATATATATATATATATATATATATATATATATATATATATATATATATATATATATATATATATATATATATATATATATATATATATATCAGGGATGTACACTCGTGGTCGCCCGATGGCACCAGGCGACCGAATATTGTGAAGGGCGACTCAATATATTTTTTTTACGCAATCAAGTCGCCCGATAGGGCGACTATCGATTTTTATCGATAGTTCTATTTTTTGTGTGTGTAATTTAAGAGATTTAAAATATGCAAAGTAACTAATGCAATAAGTAACTAAAATAATAATAAAACTCTATTTTAAAAGCCATAGTGCTAAAGTTTGTTTACCGCATTTTCTATTGTTAATTAGAAAATACAAGTAAAATAAAAACAAAAAGGCTTTATCGTTTAAACACTCTTTTTTTTTATTTAATTAAATTTTAGAGATATCTAATAATTTAAAAGATAATAGTAATAGAAGTAAATTTGTCCAGTTTGTCGAAATTCTACATATACTGAAAAAAAAAAAAAAAAAAAAAAGAAATTTTGTTCAATTTACGCCATAAAAATTACATTTTAAATTACAAATAAATTCCAATCCTGCAATTATTGTGAGACCAGACAGTCTCCAATTATTTAAAAACAATTTATTTAACCATCAAACGTATATTATTTTAAAATATCTCTAAAATCGGTTTAAATAGAGTATACTCTATAAGTGTATACTCTGAAATAAGTATTTATAGATACTTATTTCAGAGTAGATAGTTTTTTTAGTTCCAATCATTTTGTTTACAATTAAGTTTATTATTAAGTTGAATCTAGAAGATGAAGGAGTTAGTACCTATAGAAGATGAAATATCTCAACTATTTAGCGATAGTGGCAACAATAACGATGAATGTAATTTTGAAGGTTTCCTAAATGAAGAAGAGCCAGACGACTACAATAATGAACTAATAGTACATGCCAAAAATATAGCGCCTCTAATGGTAGGTTTAATTACGGATGGCGCTAATGTTTTAACTGGACGGAGACATAGTGTTCAACAACAGCTAGTAGGTGCAACAATTTTCTCACTTACATTGTTTGTTGCACCGATTGCAGCTGGCACTAAAAGATGCAGCCAGCACTTCAAAGGAACTCCAAATTCTGCAGCTATTTTTTGAGCAACTCTTCATTTTTCATCGAAATTCTACTGTTATATCAGCAGTTTATTGTAACGCATGCAAAGTTTATGGTGTAAAAGGTATTTTAAGAATTAAGTCTTGTCATATTGATAATATCTTAACGTATTTTTACTTATTATTTTTAGGTAGTATTAACAATCAAAATTTATATTAATTAATTTAGGCAATTTTATATCTATTTAATTTGGTATTTTAATTTTTAGGCCAAATGCAGAGTCATACGAGTTTATGTTAACAGATGGGTTGCGCATATGGTAAATGCGTTGGAAAATCTTCTCAATGGTCTAAAAGCGCATATCCATAGTTATACCACTATCAGCTTGGTAAGCGACTACAGCGCAACACAGAAATCAAAGGCTAAGTTCTTTGCAAAGAAATTGGTTGATCAGCACTTAATGTCGACGGCGATCTATGTTCTTGATGTGAGTAGAGCAATGACAATTTTTTCAGAGGCATTAGCAAGGTTTTTTCAGAGTATTAATTCAACACAAACAAAACTTATAAGCTTTAGAAATAAACAACAAAAAAAGTATATATAATTAGATAATATATGAGTTTATTGTAATATATACTAATATTATTGTTATTAAACGTTTTAGAAGTATAAACTTTGCGATAATTACCATTCAATAATCAAAGTAAAATGTTTACAAAAGATAAAAACTTTGTTATAAACAGATTTTGTCGCGCTTTTTTTTTAACTATTTTTTAAAAGTCTATTAAAATTTTATTGAAAGAATAAATTCATTCGAATTTTATAATTAGATTTTGTTGCTCTCATACTTAGAGTTTTATTAGAATTAGAAACTTTTGCTAATTTCCTAAACGTTTATTGATTAAAATTTAATTTTTCAAAATAAAATATAAAAATTATTATTATTTGAATATTGATAAAATGCATAATTTGTCGCTTTAAATTATATATTGAATTAACTACTAAATTCAAATATTTAATTACATATATAACTTAACTATATAGTATTTAATAAAAATACACTTTTGCTTTCCAAATTAAAACGTTAATGTAACAAATAATAAATTGTTTACTTAGAAATTTAAGAATATACCAATAATAAAATTGTTTATGTTTTTTTTAGGTTAGCACAAAAAAAAATGTTTTACCGTATGAAGTTAAGTCTTCGCTCGAGAAATTTAGAAAGATTCGACTCTGGTTTTTACTGGAACAAGCGCTCGATATATAGGATTGTAAATTTGCATGAAGTGATAAAATATAAAGATCGAGTTTTTATTGCTACATCCATGCAAAAGTGCATTTTGAAACGATGTTCAAATGTATCAGATGTCTTTGCGGAGGCGGACGAGTTGCTTAACACAGTTGAATGGACGGAGAGCGACTTTTTCACGGCTGAAAACAACAAAAAGTTACATAAAAACATGCTAGACAATAACATAAAAGCCCTTATTGACGACGATATGCTGCGTCAACAATTCGAATATAAACGAGTAGATGTTGGAAAATTTTTTATCAGAGTGGATAATATTGAAGAAAATAATGGCAATTTGGACAAGTGCAAGTTCAAAATTATTTCCACCGCTATCTTGGTCACAAATAGCGACTAATATCAAACCAGATAGATTCGCTAATCTTTTTTCTCTGATTGATTTTTTATTGTGCTATAGCTTAAGTTTTGCAGACGCGGAAAAAGGCAGACGCGGAAAAACACAAGTCAATAACAAGTTATAAACAATGCAATTACGCATCAAGATTGATGGTCCAGAAATAGAAATATACAATCCAACAAAAGCCATCAAACACTGGCTTTTGTTGGATCGTATAAACCATCATGAAAAAATAAAACTGGCATCAATCAAAAAAGAAGAGTTAGTTACATGGACAACAAAACTCCAGTTGTGTCAGTTAAAAAGTCAAAGAAAATAAAGATTTTTTCAAGTAGCGATGATGACAGTGATAGAGCTGTAACAATTGATGACGATATGTAATAATTTTGACTCTTGTTTATATTTTTATTTTGTAATGTTTTTTACCTTTCAAAATAAAAATAGTTTTTCTCGTAACAAATAAGATCGTAATAATTACAACACATTAAAAGGGTTTTAAAGTATTTGTAAATTGTTTTTTTATATTTGTCAAGAGTTTTTTGTTGTAAACGAACGTCTATTTTTTTATAAAATGAGCGCTCAAATAAAGTTTAAAAATATAATGGCTTGTGTTTTATTTGAAAGTAGAAAAGTGAATTTCATCAATAGTTTTCAATATTACTTTTATTTGCGCAAATTGTTTCTAGTGTACATTTAGCCATATAACAAAAAATGACTAAAACATGCGAGAACTTCACTAAGTAAAAATTTTTTTAAAAAATGGCAAAGGGCGACTCAAAACGTTGGCGGGCGACCAAAATTAGCAAACTGGTTAGTTTCAGTCGCCTTTCTGGCGACTGACCAAAAGTCCGAGTGTACACCCCTGTATATATATATATATATATATATATATATATATATATATATATATATATATATATATATATACATATATAATATGGCTAGTGATTGCTAGAGAGCCTATATACTCAGAGAGCGGACATACGGAAAATACGGAAGAACGGCGGCTATGTTTTTGCCAAACTAGCGTATGACATTCCCGAATTCAAGTAAAAACAATTAAAAGAAAATGAGCACAATAATATTTTCAACAGAAATATATTTTTAAAAATTAAATTTTTTTATGTTTTATTTTTTTAAAATTATTTTTCGACAAAATTATTTATTTATTTACGAAATACCTTTAAAAAAAACACAGCAAAAAAGTAGTTGTAATCAAAAAGTAATTTGAAAAAAGCTTTACAGTTTATTTTATAAATTAGTTGAACCTAAACTTTTAGTGCCAATGCATGCATTGTCATACTCTTGCTGCCAAGTTCACAAGAACCTTTTTTAGTTTTTTTCTTTTTACATAATAAACGCTTTTTTTTAAGGCTAAATATTTTAAGTCTGAATGTTATAAATCTGTTTTTTAGATTCAATTTAATTTGATGACAACTAGGATAGGACTTTTAATTTGTTCATCAGAATTAATTTTCTCTAAAAGCATAGTATTACAACTCTTTTGGGAATTAAGATATGGCTCAAAAGATCTGAATATTAATTCCATTTGTAAAAAGAATGCAAATGTTGTTTCATTAGCAAAAAATAAACTACCCACTTTGTGCTCTTTTTCTGTAACAAACTTTATGTAATCAGCATTAACTCTATTTTTAGAAACTATAGATTCAAAACAAATTGTACAAACTTTTTCAATTTTTTTAACTCTAGAAATTATATAACCTGCAAAATGAAACAAACAATTTTGCTCAGCATTACTTAAGATTAAGTTAAAAGTTTTATCCCAATCTTTAGATAACAAAATGCATTCTCTTTGCTGTGGCTTATGCACCTTACTATTAACTATATCAAGAAAACCAGATAAGAATTGATGGTCATCTATATCATAACTGCCTTTTGATGATTTTTTCAAGAATTGGGCAACGCAAATAAGTTTCAAGTTATTTTTAAATTGAAGAGCATTAGGAATTACTTGTTTTGCACGTACCAGGGAAAAAAGTTTCTCCAGGCAATCCTGCGTAAATCGTGATGTCATTAGAAAATCAAACTTTTTTTCTAGAAGAAACTTATTTTGCAAGTTAATAACTGATGTTGTTGATAATATAACACAAGATTGAATAGGTTTCCACCTTATTTTTCCAGTTTGGCCTAATATTTTTAAACCATTGAATATCTCTATGATTTCATTTTAAAAAGTTATTGTTTCATTGTAAATTTTGTCATTTTTCATCCTAAGAGCCATACCTGGGTTTCGTGAAGTCATTAATGTAAACCATTTATCAACAATTCCTATAAACCAAGCACTTGTGAGAATAGAATCATCTTTTATTTCACTTGCAATAAATTTTAATCCACAACTTACATCATGATTTATTATAGATGTTGCTCTTGATACTTTCATTTTGTTGAAATGTTTTTCATCAAGATGTTCAGATGTAAGCTTGTAAGCAAACTTCAAATCCATACCTTCTTGAAAGTCTACAAGCTTGTTAAGGTGTTTTAAATCTATAATTGGCGATTAAAGTTTATATTTTTCTTGAATCTTAGCTGTTATTATAAAATGTTTGTTACATAAAAGAGATGTTCTTATATTCTTTAATAAATGTGGTACGTCTGCTAAAAAATCAAAAATCAGTAGGGTCCCATGGGTGTTTAATTGAACTAGAAATACTGCCAATTTTAGTACAGCTAATATTAAAAGATTTCCACATTGCCTGGTTAATGGCACCCATATCAGAAGTAAAACTATTAACTTTTAATCCTATTTCTTCACTATACTTTATTATAGATAGGGCAATGTTTTTTAAAACACCCCCATTAACAGATCTTCCAGTATAATAATATACAACAGTTTGTTTCCATCTTGCAGATGTTCCTCCAAGCGTAAAAACTAAAGCATGGTTAGCTTGGCCATAATGTTCAGGTAATGTAACAACTCCATAGTAATAGCTTGTAGATGTGTCATAGTCACTTTCAGTTGTTGACATTTCATCAAGAATTAAAACACATTCTTTTTCATGGATTTTTATGGCATTCACCTTAGTTTTCATAAACTCAAAGACTTCTGTTAGAATGCCACTTTGAAATTTTAGATTTTCTAATCTTCGTCGTAGGGTACGTAATGATGGGTATGGTAAGTTTAAACGAAGTAAATTTTCATAACCACTTTGACCGCATGTAAGTTTAAGTTCTAATGCATTTATAGTATCATTTGACCATTTAATGAATTTCATATTTTTTCTACTTAAAGATAAAATTTGATCTTCTTTAAATATTGTTTTCAAAACTCTAAATTTATCTCTCTTTATATGATTATATTTTTGAATAGTATTTATTCTTGCTTTCGATTTTAAAATGTTAATTTTTTTTTTTGATTAATGACTTTTTTTTCTAATCTCCAATTTCGCATTTAAATCTTGTATAAGTAAACTTTTATCAACCTCAGTTGTGCAAAGTGATTTAGATACTATATTGTTATTTACTTCAATTAAAATATTTTCCACAACTTCTCCACTTTCTATACAACTTATTTTCTTTTTTTTGGTATTGGAAAACGCTCGAGTGGAATTTTTCGCTTATGTTTTGCTCTAACATGTTTAAAGACAGTAGGAATTGCATTATGTTTGAGTTTTCTTGATCCATCTTCTCTGGTTTTTTCCCATTGATTAGCATCAAAGTGTACCTTAATAAAAAAATTGAACGAATATAATGTATTTGTATGGATTCTAAAATAACTCATTTCTAGGATTAATTACATAAAACTGTATTTTCTTATGCTTACTTTATATAAAAAGCTTGTGTTTGTAGGTATCCAGTTAAGTCGTTTAACTTTGGAATTCCAAATCGCCCGTTGTTTTTGATTTCTTGGGAAGCATTTCATAATAAATCCTTTCTCAGGCCTGTTATGGCAGCCGACTGCAGCACAACCAGACATACTTTTACAAATATTTAATACAAATTTAGTAGTAGACTTTATTCGCAGTTAGTATTTTTGGCAAAAAGATGGCGTCTAAAATCATAAAAATCGAACAACCAATCAAAAACGATCACACGTATGTCCGCTCTCTGAGTATATAGGCTCTCTAGTGATTGCCAAAGGGCAATAATTAAATATAAAACAAGCAGATTTTTTTTTTTTTTTTTGAGTCCAACGTTGATATGATTTAGGAAAAAAAAATCAAAAACATTAGGACCAGTCAAGAATTTAGAATCCAAAGAGGAACCTCAAGATATCATCAAAATCAAAAAACATTTTATTTTGCTTTGTTTTTATGAATAATAGACATTGATTCGTGTCTTAGGAAAATTTATTTTTTAATTTTTTTTGTTATGAAAATCACTATACTCTAATATATATATTAGATTTAATATATATATATATATATATATATATATATATATATATATATATATATATATATATATATATATATATATATATATAAAGAGAGAGAGAGAGAGATTTCTGATGAGTCTTTATTGATGAAACACAGTGTTAAATGAGAAAAAATTTTGCTATGTGATTTTCTACTATTTTATAATTATATATATATATATTTATATATATATATATATATATATATATATATATTATATATATATATATATATATATATATATATATATATATATATATATATATATATATATAAAAGCGTTTCGATAATATAAAAGCATTTAAGATCAAACTTATTAAATTGTAACGGTTTTCTAAAACTTTATTTTTTAACGAAATTTTGTTTATCTTTTTAAATGCATTAACTTTAACCATTCTTATATTTAAATTCGTTAAAGAGACTTTCGTAGTCGTAGAATGTCATCGTTTATAAAACCAAAACAATTTTTATTTTTTAATAAGATTTATTTTAGAAATGAACACTTAAACAATTTATATGTTTTAAATTTAAAAAATATATACAACTGTCAATTATATTTAAAAAACAAAACTTTTTTTCAGTAAATTATTACTTTATTTTAAATCGTTTCGCTAATAAAAACATTTGTTAAGGAGATTTGATGTAATTAATTTCACTTTTTTAGAATATTTTTTATTTAGCGCGTTTCTAAAATGTTTTTTGAATTAGCCGCGGTTAAACCGTCATAGCAAAATGTAACTTGCATAGTCATATAAAAACGTAAAATCGCACGTCTTCTTGTGAAAGCCTGAATGTTCAAGTCTGAATCAAAGTATTTTATTATTCACCCACAGAATCATGGAAAGAAGACATGTTCGTTTTATGATAGCGTACATTTAGTCAAAAATCTTAGAAATAATTTATTAAATGGTAAAAAATTTGTTTTTTCAGACTTTAAATACCATAATACATATATCAATATTGATTGTCCATCAGGATATATTAGTTGGGAAGATTTATTTAAGATTTAACATAATGATAATGATATGAAAGGTAAACTTAGAAAAGCTCCAAAGCTTACATATGAGGCATTACATCCTGGAAATAACAGCCAAACTGTGCCACTTGCGTTAGCAATTATACATGAAACTACAATTGCAGCTTCAAAAAGCTGCTATCCAAATCGAAAAGATGTTTCAAGTTTTTTAACTACTTTTAACACTTGGTGGACTATTGCTAATT